TTCTTCTTTTTTCTAATAAATTATGGTCAACCAGAAAAGTACCTCCAACCTCTTCTCCAAAATCTTTTCATGAATTCACATTTTCTGGACATAAGACACTTTCTGAGAACCTGGACATTCACTAAGTAACTCTGAGCATTACCTGCCAGGTGACCTCTTCTGGGTGTCCACTAAAATTTAAGATGTACCTGTCAACCAGGGGGCCTATCTGCTGAGAAGGAGTGGGGCCAAGAAAAGCAAAGTCCTGCAGGGCAGCTTAAGCCTTCCTAGTTAGTGGATGCTGTCTCTCTCAGTCCACACAGCTGGTCATTGGCACCCCCCCACCAAGGGATACCTGAGGTGCAAAGGAGTGAGTCTAACATCATGTGCAGGGGGATCCACCTTCTCTGAGAAGCCTACACCCCACATGGGCAATCCAGTTAAACGGTCACCATGTTCAGAGAAGCCCCTAGCATGAGCTCCCCATAAGAGTATGTGTAGCTAAATATATGCTCCTGAAAAGTGCATCCTTATCTTAATCACTGAGGCCTGTAACAGCTGATGCTCTACCTTTGTCAGACCTCAAAAGGAACAGAACCAGAAAGGTATTTGTCTCTTCAGAAGGTGAAACGTTTACCCAACTTACAATATAGAATATCACAAAAATTTCCAAACTTTTCAATTTAATTTGCTATTTAAGGGGAAGGAAATGGTATTTGTGTATCCAGGCAAAATACTATAAACAAGATCCCTTACAAACACGAGAAATTTCTTCCTCATGGATCTGGAGGTGGCAAGTGCTAGAGCAGGTGCTGTCAGGTACACTGGGTTGTTCATACATGGTGCCCCTCGCTGTGTCTCACACAGGTGAAGGAGTGAGCCAGCTCAACGGGATTGCTTGTCTTAAACTCGTCCCCAAAGCCTTCACCTCCTAGTGCCATCCTCCTGGAGACTAGGATTTCAACTTATGAATATTAGGGTGACATAAGCATTCAGACCAAAGCAAAAGTAATAATAACAACAACAACAAAGGAACAATAAGGTTTCAAAATGTCAAATTGACTTCATGTCATTTGCTGCCTCTAGGATAAGGTGATGTGTGTTGGCTTTGGTTGCTAGAGTGCTATGTTATGAGAGATGTGAAGATTGATTCAAGGGTCACTTAGCTCAGTGTCCTCCAGGCAGAGTAGACAGGGCTTTGGCCTGCCTCATATATATCTCCCATTTCACAGGGTAGCATGCTAGGAGGGGATCTTATACTTATGGACTGAAATTTCAAGGTCAAATGAGAGTTCTCACCTATCCTAATGCCTGAACATCAGTTCTTATAGAACTTTCTGAATTTGTAGAATTGGTTTCTGGACTTGCCTTCTGTTTCCAAGGTCTGCAGGTGTCCTCTCTGTACCAGGAAGTGTCATTGAGTTGGCTTACAGAATTCTAGCAAGACAGGCAAGCCTGGGTGGGAAGTGTACTGAGGGTCAGGTTTTTGAAGAGAAGATGCTAGGTGTTTGAAGAGGAGTCCAGGTGGACCTTCTGAAGCTTCAATTCTCTGGAGCAATTATGCCCTGCCAAGAGTTGCCTTCATTGAGCTAAATGGAGACTTTGCGCCCCTACCTCTCTAGCCACTTGGATAGGGGCTGTTCAGGAAAGACAAATCCCTTGGGCAGTGCAATTGGCAGCAGAGCAGGCCCTGAGAACTCTGGCAGCAGGAGGCCCTCTGCTGACCATGCTCCCCACTGCTGATGGCAAGTTCCTTAGGAATCTGGAAGATACAGCATTATGGCTTCCTGAGGAGTAGGAGGCTTGGGAGAGTTTGCTGCATCTAGGATTCCTTTGCAATTGAAAGGGAGGGTCAGGTTGGGCTTGTTGG